ATTTTATTTAAACATGGAATAAAGTTCATCTAGTTAATTAAAAAAAAAAAAATAAAACAAGATAAAATAGATAATATTCATATTTGTAATTTTCGTTTTTTAATTTCTTAAAGTTTCTATACAGGTATAAAAGCGCCTTTGATCAACATGATGATTATTTAAGGAATATTGTTGTCATGGGTTCATGCTTTAAAGAAAGTATTATAGTTCTAAATATATTTACATTATAGGAATTCTATGTTCGATAATTCAAAATCTTTTAAAAATTCAAATTATCTGAAATATCAAAAATAGAAGCATCATCATGTAAATAAAAGTTATTGTTATTAAAAGATGAATTACTTTGATATAGATCAGAAATTAAATGATTATTTTGATATAGATCAGAAATTAAAAGATTATTTTGCACAAGATGGTCAGTATCAAGAAGTACTTGATTAAGAAGAGGAACAGGTTCTTGAAGCACAAAGTAAGGAATAAAATAAAAAATAATATCTCCATTATTATTAGATTGTTGCGTATTTACTGATACATGGTCTTGCACATTAGAGACGGAGGATAGCGTAGATTTGGTCTTTGGTCCACGTCTTTTACCAGAATTAATAAAAATACACTCAAGATTGTGTAATTTACAGTGGTTACAAGGTGCATTTCCAGAGCATCTTATGTGCTTTTGTTTACAATTAGTACATGCTTTGGTCGCATAAGGACCTCGTTGCCGTCTTTGACATGGAAGAGGCATGATTAATCAAAGTATTGTATTTTAATAGTTGAGCAAAAATGCTAACGATACTAATGATAGAAAACGATTAAATATTATAGACGTGAATAAATTGAAAGCAACCAAAAATTTTATTTAATTTAAAAGTGTTTATAAAAAAAAACCATTTAGCAAGACAAATCATGAAATTATTTAATAGAAAAAAATAAAAAGCAAGAAATACTTTATATTTATATTTAACGGTCATTCGGGATTGTTTGAAAATCTTAACGTTGGCTAAACGTGCATAAACGTGTTCTAGTAGTACGAATATCTTAATAACGTGCCCTAGTAGTACAAATATCTTAATACTTTGAAAAATCTTAAGTTCTGAAGTATGCGTCTATGCGTCTTTGTTTGTATTGATGTACAGAAATTTTACTTAATAGGAAATCTTCGTAGTAATACGGAGATGCCGTATATGAATATCTAAACGTTAATAAACGTTAATGTTATAATATAAATATCTCGGATTACAACTCCACAAAACCATTCTTACCTGTTTTGGAATTTCTTTCACTCTTTTCTTTCCTCATATAAAAAAAATTGTTTAGTTTTAGTCTTGTTTTGTTATTGTTCTGAAAAACAATAAAGCATACCATAGTGCAGTCAACGTCAGTAATTATGTGTAAAGATTCAGATACCGATACTCTTATTCTAAAATGGAAATTTAAGTAGTACGGAGGTAACAAGCACGTATGTACGTACTTACGTATGTGACATGATTTCTTATTCATACGTATACAATATATCTAAAAATTTTATAAAATATCTATACATGTATTAATACGCTAAAAATAGTGTCCACAATCAGATGAATATACATATGAAATACGTCCAACAAATTCATATTTGCTAGTTTATGGAATTGCTATTAACTTTGATCTACTAATCTAACGATTTTAGGCTCATTCGAATTGTCTCATCAAGACGAATCTTTTTGGTGAGTAAAATCATCCAAAACGGGCTAGTAAATCAAAAGTTATTCAAGGTTATTAATAATATTTATCTAGTAATTTACCGATCTTAAGATCCTGTGATTGAATTTTAACGATTTTGGGCTTGTTAAAATCGTAAGACTAACATATTTTTGGCGATAAATCATCTAAAATGAGTTAGTATTAAAATTTCAGCTAATATTTTGATCAAAATTATATCATTTTTGCAAACCGTGCCTTCCGTTTCGCTGATAATAATAATCCTAAAATGACATACGTTATTCATTGATTCTTAAGTGACATATATCGATTTCGAATTGACTGGAATCAATAAACGATGCACAACTATATTCCATAAAACCGTTCAACCCAGCAAGAAAAAAAAGACGATCAAATGTAAATTTTAACTTAAACTTATTTATAATATTAAATTTTTTTATTAAATTTTTAAATATTAATAATATTAACATTTATACTTATATATAAGTACAGTATAATTTTTAAGTTAGCAAATGCAAGTAATAAATGAATAGATGTGAATAATTTACTTTAATGTAGGCTAAGGGTAACAATACGTCTCTAGTAGCAACGGCTGTTGTAATTAATGCACAAATAATAGATTAATAAAGGTATATAAAAGCTTCGCCGATAATTGTAATAAATTGTATATTGATTCTAATGAGCTCTTTGATTTTTGATTAATAATCACGTATAGATCAACATAAATTATCTAATCACACGAATGACTTTCTTCGAGGATGACATAGCAAATAAATAGGTGAGGATATTAATAAAAGTCTGCATCTACTGCTATATTACCGATCAGAGCATCGCCATATACAAAGTATAGATTCATTATCGTTAAAATTAGAAATATTCCTATTACTTTAAAGGAATTGTTGACAGAATTTGAATTACATCCCGAAGTTTGAGTAATTTTAGAATCTTGAGAGCAACTATCACCGCTCATACAATTTATGCTAAATTTACATTCAGTAGCATTCACCATTGCTTGTTCTATTGAATAAAACAATTTTAACATTGCTAATGTTTCGTTTGTTGATGGTGTTGAATTTGTATTAAAATAAGATAAAATATTTGCCTGATCACATGAAATACAAGAATCGTTTTTTTGCAAACCCGCCTTTACCAAACTCATTCCAAAATTATTCACACAATCTATTAATTTTTTTGCTGATTGATCTATCTTATTCGCTTCTTTATCATTATAATTATTATCTTTTGCTAATTTTAATACCGAAACTTGCAATTTAATGATATATTGAACTATTTTTACAACTACTCTTTCGGTTATTGTTATTGACGGTGTCAATCCAACCAAACAAATTCCATCGTTACAATATTCGTATTCTGAACAACAATTACCATTTCCACAACATTGAAAACCATTTGGGCAACAACCTTTTCCATTACAACAAGTGCTACCTGAAAGACAACAACCATTATTTCCGCAACATTTAGAGGGCGGTAAACAACAATAAATTCCACAACATGGGCCTTCACAACAAGTACTACTACTGCAAATTTTGCCGCATAGTGTAGAACAACATAAACTGGTCCCTGCGCATTGGTAATATCCAGGTTCACAAATGACGGCTCTTTCGTTTAAAGATAGGTTTGAATATGTTCCAATAAGATGACCAGATGCATCTTGAAAGGGAAGTAATTCATCACCTTTCCATTCTGAGGGTGTCGTTGTAAAAGCAAAATTGTTTAAAATTGCAATTATAAAAGTAAATATTAATGGTAAATTTTTCCACATAATAAATTTGATATTATTTTCTGTTTATAAATGTCTATTTTCGCAAGAGTATTGTAGAAGCGGCGAGTGATAAAAAGAAAAAAAATAATAAATTTTTATATGTAAATAATCCGTTTCCGAAAGGGGTAATCCATACATAGTAAATTGCGCGTCACGAATCTCTCGTGACATAAATAATTTATTTCCTATTTATTTTTTATCAGTTTCATTTTTTCCTTATATGTATCTGTCCCAGGCTTAGTTCAAATACGTCCTGTTATAACCTGTTGGGAGAATGCATCCACATGGACCAATTTGGAAATAATAGCGAATTTTGTGTAGTTTGCGTTTGGATTATGTACAGATCGTATCGGATCTTTTATAAATGTTGGATAATTAAGGAAATAGAGATGAGAAACGTGGGATGGGTAGCGATGCCTGTACATAATGAAGCAGAATATGTGTGTAATAGAGCGAACTCGTTCCACTTATCATTATGTATAAAATATTTCCCAAATCATCCCGATAAAGCAGAGCTTCCAATATTAGTCTACTTATCGTATAGGAAGTAGGCAGTGATGACCGAAGAGACCTATCCCGGAATGATTAGATTAAAAGTCTTACTGTTTATATTGTTAGTAATTTTGTATAAATATCGTGATTTGTCTTGTAATACCCTGCCTTACTATTTGTTGTTCATGCCGACCCACGGGATCATATCGTGACCGGGAATCTTCCATGTAAAGATTCCCGATCACAAATAATCACACGAAAATTATAATAAAGGTAGACATGAACAACGTAAGGCAGGGTAATATTTATGAATTTCCTGTGAGGAGTTAAAAACTACAATAGAGACGGCCGGCCTACGGCACTAGGGTGTTCTATAAAAAATTTTTAGATCGACACACAATATTTAATGACTATAAAAAATAGACTTCGCGTATCCTTTAATTTCTCACCCCTAATATCTAATAAAATTAGACTTTAGTAAGTAAATTTGCTTTACAGAAGGTGCTTTATATTATGACAACGTTAGAATTTCATTTATCTCTAAATAACTAATAAATTTGCCTCGTATATGTAATAAACCATAATTATTAACTTCAGTCGAATAAATCTGCTAAGTGTAATTAAAATGCGTTAAAAAGGTATTTATTAACTTCGTATATATAGTACTTTAGTAATGTTTGGTGGTGATTTTGGTACTACGAATATTACAAATTTAGTTTTTACTTATAATATAAAAACACAAATATTTAGTAATCCAGTAACTATTAATCAACCTGCGAATATGTATACACGTTCTGTTTGTGACCTTAAAACCGGAAGAATGTTAATGTTTAATGGAACTATGTGTATTTTGGATACAAAAACATTAACGTGGAGTGTTGGTAGTTTAATTAGTGCACCAACATCAAGATATGATCATACTGCTACTTTATTACCAAATGGTTATATTGTCTACATAGGTGGTGTAGAGTATAGTCCAGGTTCTAGTCCAGTAAATTTGTTAACGGTAAGAAGAACTGAATTAAAATTGATTAAATGAAAAGGTGTTGAATATTATAATTATCTTTTTTTTAAGTAGCTACCTTTATATAACA